CTTGCCTGTTTTCTTCCAAGCAATTAGAAGCAGCCAGAGCATGGCGAGTTCTCAGTAAATTTCTACTGAATAAATGAGTACTAACTCATCCACTTGATCAGGATGATTTGTACAAACTCTTTTTCTAAAGACTTGTTTTATTTTTTAAAAAATTATATCTGTGTGTGTGTGTGTGTGTGTGTGTGTGTGTGTGTGTCTGTGTACATGTGTGCAGGTGCCCTTGGAGACGAGAGAGGATGTTGGATTTTATGGAACTAGAGTACAGGTATTTTTGAGCTAGCTGATGTGGGTGTTGGGAACTGAACTCAGGTCCTCTGCAAGAACTCCTGCTGAGTCACCTCTCAAGTCCATGCACAAACTCTTAAGAATAGAGCAAGCCACTATTTGGGGAGAAGAGAGAGGTAGGATTTGGCCCTAAGACTAGGGAAAGAAACTAAATATTTATATTATCAAGAACCCAGGAAGTGGGGAAAAGAAACTACTAAATACCATTATTCCATCATTAAACCAGCTTTTGTTAAATATCCACCAAACTTTTACTTTATTATTTATCTGAAGTTCTATGGGATCTTTCTCAAATTCAGTTTTCATTTCAAAGGTAGAATCATCTTTGAGGTCCACATTCCATCATTTCAATGGCCCAAATTGTGAGTATAGAAAAGCACAGAGACAGGGTTGTTCTGATGCCTGGCAAGAACCCCATCTGTGTTAGAATTGTAATCTCATTGCACCAGCTTTGTCCCTTAATGAGATTTGCAGGCTAATTCCGGAGTGGTTTGATTCATGCATCTCACTGATTGATAACAATCTGGCATTAAAAAAAATGGGACAGGTCCTTGGGAATAAGAGAACTTTGAAACTAGGCCATGATGCTTGGCAGGACAGAGAGGGAGGAGTGACCTGGCAAAGGGCTGTAGAGGTTCTAACAGTGCTTTCTCTTTGTGGCTGTCTGTGCAGCATCTAAGTCCATTGTTCTTATATGCACATCAAAAACCAACCCCAAAGTAGGTGGTGCACACCTGTAATCCCAGCACTCAGGAGACTGAGGCAAGATTATATCAAGTTTGAGGTTAGGCCAGGTTATGTAGTGAAATCCTATTTTTTTAAATAAGAGGACCAAGAAATAAACTCATACACTATTACCATCTAAATTTGGACAAAGATACTAAAGAATACACCAGAAAAGGGATAGCCTTTTCAACAAATGATGCTGGGAAAAATGGATAGCCATATGTAGAAGAACGAAACTAGATCCTCCTCTCTCACCTTGCTCAAAAATTAATTCAAAATGTATCAAAGACCTTACCTAAAAACTGAAACTCTGAAACTGCTACAGGAAACCATGGGCAAAATACTTCAAGATATAGTCATAGGGAAGGATTTCCTGAAAAGGACTCCAATAGCTCAGAAAATGACAGCAAGAATTGAGAAATGGTATTGCATGAAATCAACAGTCTCCTTTACAGTAAAGAAAAAAAAATCAACAGAGAAGAGTTTGCCTACAGGATGGAAGAAAAATTTTGCCAACTATACAACCGACAGAGGATTAATATCTAGCCTATAAAGAACTCAAAGGATTGAAAATGAAGCCAAGTCATCTAATTAATAAATTGGTAAAAGAATTGAACAAGCAGTTCTCAAAAGAAGAAATATAAATAGCCAATAAATATATGAAAAAAGTTTGACATTCTTAGCTAACAGGGAAATGCAGATTAAAACTGCATTGAGAGTCTATCTCACCCCAGTCAGAATGTCTATCATGAGGAAGACAAATGACAGCCAGGCTTGATGGCATAGGCCTGTAATCTCAACTACTTAGGAGGACAGGGCAAGATTCTAAATTCAAAGTCTTCCTGGATGTAGAGTGAGTTCAAGGCCAGTCTAGGCAGCTTAATGAGACTGTGTCTCAGAATTTAAAAAAGGCAGTGAAAATGAGAGTTATAGGTATAGGTCAGTGGAAGGAAAAAAAGGCTGAAGAGGATCTGGGGAAAAGAGGAACACTTACACACTGCTGGTGGGAATCTGAACTGGTGCAGTCATTGTGGATATCAGTATGGCAGGTCCTCTAAAAACAAAAACTAAAACTACTATATGATCAAATGATACTATCTGGGTACATGTCCAAAGGAATTTAAGGCAGCATACCATACAGACTCATACAACACACTCGTTTAGTGCTGCCCTAACTACAATAGCCAAAATATAGAACCATCCTTGATATTCATCAATAGATGAATGAAGAAAATGTAGTATATAAACACGATGGAATTTTATTCAGCCATAAAAAATAATGAAATTATGTCATTTACAGGACTACAGATAGAAGTGGGGATCATAAACACAGAATAAAATAAGTAAGATTCACAGACAGACATATACTGCATGTTTTCTTTGACCTGCAAAATATATGAGGGACTGTGAGGGGGTGGAGAAATAAGAGAGGTCTTTGGAGGATGAAAGATGAATATCGTCTTGTGGAATCTAGCTGTAATAACACAGGTGTGGCTTGAAAGCAGAAGTTGGACTGATTGGGAGGAGGAAGGGGACCAGTGGTGTGGCGAGAAGGGCCAAGGGATGGCAGATGTGGGGGAGTAAATATGAGCAAAGTATAATGATTGTATTTTTGAAAATATAATGAAACTCATTCTGTATCATAATGAAAAAAATTAGCAAAAATATAGAAGCACAGCAAAACCAAAACATAACAAAAAGCCAACCCAAGAAAGAGTTGATGTTAGAACTTCACCAGGCTCTGGACTTGGAGATAAGAAGATTCCAGAAAGTATCTAGGATCAGGCCACTCCCATCATCTTAGAGTTTAGTAAAAAATCGATTTAAGTCTCATAATTTAAAAATTTCCTCCTCTTCCTCCCCCTCCCCCTCCTCCCCTCCTCCTTCCCCTTCCTCCTCCTCCTGCTCCTCCTCTTCTTCTTCTTGGGTTTTGGAGACAGGGTCTCTTACTATGAAACCCTGGCAGGCTTGGCACTCATTATGTAGACCAGGCTGGACTTGAGCTCACAGAAGTCCTCTTGTCTCTGCCTTCTGAGTGCTGGGATTAAAGGTGTGCACCACCATACTTGGCTCATCATTTATTTTGTTTTATTTATTTATTTTTATGTTTATGAATGTTTTTCTTGCATGTATGTAAATGCACCCATATCATACAACGCCCACAGAGGCCAGAAGAAGGTGTCTGATTCCTTGGAACTGGAGTTACAGATGCTTGTTAGCTGTGCTGTGGGTGCTGGGAACTGAACCTAGGTCCTCTGCTAAAGTAGCCAGTGCTCCTCACCACTGAACCATCTCTCTAGTTCAATCATTTATTTTTTAATTGATAGTTATATACATTTATGGTGTATGTTTTAAAATATGTACACACTATGAAAAGGCTGAATCAAGCTAATTAACGTATATATTCTCTTGCATACTGATCTTTTTTGTGTGTTGAGGGTACTTAAAACTGATTCAGTGATTTTCAAGTATATGATATATTATTATTAACTGAATCACCATTTTGTACAACAGATATCTTGAACTTAAAGAAATTTTGTATCCTTTGACCAACAGCTCCCTAATCCCTCCCCTTCTATCCATGATAACCTCTATTCGAACTCCTTCCTTATCTGAGTTCAATTTATTTATTCTAAACAAGGTCTCACTCTGAAGCTCTGGGTGGTCTGGAACTTACTATGTAGACCAGGCTGACCTTGAACTCACAGAGCTCCACATGCATCTGCCTTGTGAGTGCTGGGATTAAAGTCATGCATCACCAGACATGGTTGAGTTCAACAATTTTGGATTCTACTTATGATTAAGAATGTATTTTGGGCTGGAGAGATGGCTCAGCAGTTAAGAACACTGGTTGTTCTTGCAGAAGACCGGGGTTTGAATCCCAGCACCCACATGGCAGCTAACAGCTGTCCATAACTCCAGTCCCAAGGGCTCCAACAGCCTCTTCTGACCTCTGCAGGCATTGCATGACATGGGTGCACTTACCTACATGCAGGGAATACACACATGCACATAAAAGAAAAATAATAGTGGCTGGAGAGATGGCGCAGCAGTTAAGAGCTGATTGCTCTTGCAGAGGACCCGGGTTCGATTCACAGAACCCACGTGGCAGCTCTGAATCATCCTTAACTCCAGTTCCAGGGGAATCCGATGCCCTTTTCTGATCTCCGCTGCATTGCACGACACAGGTGCACTCACATACATGCAGACAATACACTCATACACATAAAAAAAAAATAATAAATGAAATATTAAAAAAATAAAAATAATAAAATTAAAAAAAGAATGTATTTGTTCTCAGTAATTACTTTTCTGTGCGTGACCTTATTTCATTTTATATAACATCCTCCATGTTCATCCATGCTGCCACAAATAACAGAATTGTATGTTTATATATTTAGAAAAAAATAATTCTCAGTGTGTAAAATCATGTGCTTTGTGTAGTGTGCAAATTGCTTCCTTCACAGTAGTATTGTGAGTTTGGTGTTGTAATCTCAGTAAACCAAGAAGGAGGCCAGCGTTCAGAAAGACTGATTAACTTGTCCAAGGTCTGAAGGGATTTAAACCTATATCTGATTTCAAACCCCAGTCCTTAATACTGTTCCACTCAGGATTTTCCAAAAATGCTTTTCCTGGCTCCACATGAAGTCAATATATAGTCTCCATATAGGAAATGCAGAAGTTTGAACATTTCTAAGAAATTGAGCCCTTGCTGGCCCTGGCTTTGCCTGTCTGCTAATTATGAAACCTTGTGGGATGGCTAAATCACTTTATCTCTTTGTCATTATTTTGTCAAAATGGGATTAGGAATATGTCCTTCCAAGGATTTCTGAGAGATAAGTGAAACCAGGTTTGGGAAAACTGTAAAGTGTTTCGCAAACCTAAAGGATCATTACTGAGACTCAATCAAGTAGGCCGTAAACACTTCATTATCTTCAGTGTGACCTTTTTCTTACTGTTATTTTATTCCAGCAGGTAGCCTTGGTTCCATGGCAGAGAATGGCACCAGGGTGACGGAATTTATTCTGATGGGGTTCCAGCTCCCGGCAGAGCTGCAGTTCGGTCTCTTTTTAATGTTTCTGGTGTTTTATCTCATCACTATGGGGGGAAATCTGGGCATGATCATGCTAATCCAAAGTGACCCTCGGCTCCACACACCCATGTACTTCTTCCTCAGCCATCTGTCCTTCCTCGACATTTGCTACTCTTCTGTAATTGTCCCTCAGTTGCTGGAGATCTTGGGGACTGACAAGATGGTCATCACCTATGAGCGCTGTGCCACCCAGTTCTTCTTTTTCACGTTGTATGCTAGTACTGAGTGCTTCCTTTTGGCTGTGATGGCTTATGACCGCTATGTGGCTGTGTGCAATCCCCTCCTCTACGCTATGGCCATGACGCCACAGACCCGCCTGGGGCTGATAGCCGCAGCATATGCTGGTGCGATGGTCAACACTGTGGTCCGCACTGGGTGCACCTTCTCCATCTCCTTCTGTAAATCCAACCAGGTTGACTTCTTCTTTTGTGACCTCCCACCCTTGCTGAAGCTTGCCTGTAGTGAGACCAAGTTACGGGAACATGTGATCTTCCTTTTAGCCTTTTTGGTCATCACAACTAGCGTTTCAGTGATTCTTATATCCTATTTCTTCATCGTTTGGGCTATTCTGAAGATTCGCACGGCAGGCGCCAAAGCCAAGACCTTCTCCACCTGTGCGTCTCACTTCACCGCAGTAGCTCTTTTCTTCGGAACACTCATATTCATGTACTTGAAAGGTAACATGGGAAAATCCCTCTGGGAAGACAAGATTGTGTCAGTATTGTATACTGTGGTCATCCCCATGCTGAACCCCATGATCTACAGTCTGAGAAACAAGGAAGTGAAGGAAGCTCTGAAGAAAGCTTTCAAAAGAATAAGGGTTTTCCAAGGAGAGTGAAATTTAAGCTCTCTCAGTCCAGAAGTTCCTTCAAGTCTTTTTTTTTTTTTTTTGCTTTAGTTTTCTACTATTAGCATATGAATCATTTCATAACTGTAAAGATAGATTGAAGCAAAATATGTATTTTTGGGTTCCAGAACTTTGTTAGTTCTATGATCTAAAGCCAGAAATACTTTGTATCAGTTTCTCATCAAAAACATTTCTGCCTTGGGGCTGGAGAAATGGTTCAGTGGTTAGAGCATATACTGATCTCTCAGAGGACCAGAGTTTGGTTCCCAGACCTATGTTGGGTAGCTGCCTGTAGCTCCAGCTCCAGGGGAATCCAAAACCTTCTTCTGGCCTCTACCAGCGCTTGCATTCATGTGTACATGCCCCCCCATAACACACACACACACACACACACACACACACACACACACACACTAAAAAAAATGACAATTTTTAAAAAAGACAAATTTCTGCCTTGTTATGTTTGAAGGTCAAGAGGTCGTTAGCTCAGATTAAGAGAGATATAATCTATGTCCAAGAGCTTTGTAAATGGCATGGTATAAAATGTAAGATTTATTTTTCATACCTGTCTTGGGTGGTGTTTTCACAGCTATTTTACTGTTTTCTATAGTTTGTTTTTTAAAAAAAATTTTATTTATTTTTATTTTATGTGTATGTGTGTATTGCCTGCACCTGTGTTGTGCAGTGCCCACGGAGGACAGAAGAGGCTGTCGGATCCCCTGAAACTGGGGTTACAGACAGTTGTTTGCTGTCATGTGGGTGCTGGGATTCAAACCTAGGTCTTCTGCAAGAACAGCCAATGTCCTTAACTGCTGAGCCATCTCTCTAGCCCCTAAAGCTCATTTTTAAACCTAGAACAGTGACAAATGATAGTTCATTTCTTACATAGTAAGGGTAGTCAAATTCTTTGGTTCCAGATTGTGGGGTGGATATCAACCTTGGCCCAAGAAACTTTTCTTAACATTCAGTTATATGAAGTTCAGGTAATTATCATGGAAGAATACAAGTAGCTAAATAAAAGAAGGAGGAATGAGTGGTAAGGAGTTGTGATCTGGAAACGTTCTGCTAGAATATGTAAGCTTATTTTCCAAGAGATCATAAAGGCAAGATACTGCAGAAAGACGGAATGATTTACACTCATTATTGGAAACAATTTGAACTTGATGTAGGGCTGAACTGAATCCCATATATAACATTGTAATATTTCTTGATCACCAAAGGTCAGAAGCTCTATTTTTTTCTGAAGCATTATTCATGGACATCTGCTTCAATTAATTAAAGTTATTTCCTATTCTCTAGTGATGAGAAGAACTATCTACTTTCATCTCCTTTAGGACATTTACTTTATTGTCAGAAGACAGAGAAGTATAACTCTATCACCTTCTAATGACTTACATATTGCTTAGAAATATTACTTAGGAAATATCTCCATGGAGACTCCACAATCTTATTTATCATTTCAGGAAATATTTAGAGAATATCTACTGTGTGTCAGACATGATATTTGGTTCAAAACATAGTAATAAATTATATGGCTTCCCCTGCATGGACCCTAGAACCTGGGGCATAAACCATTACATGGATAATTTTTACAGTTTCAGAAAGTGTAAAGAATATCCCCCCCCCAGGAATCATGATATTGTTAAATTATCATGCTGGTTTGTTTTGGTTAATTTGACATGAGCTAGAGACACCTGGGAAGAGGGAATCTCAACTGAGGAATTTCCTTCATCACATGGGAATGTGGGTGGGTGCATTTTCTGGATTGCTAATTGATGTAAGTGCCCAGCCTATTTCAGGGTGGTGCTATTCCTAGGCAACTGGGCCTGGACTGTATAAGAAAGATAACTGAGAAAACCAAAGGAAGAAGCCAGTAAGCAGCATTCCCCAATGGTCTCTGCTTCCATTCTTGCCTCCAGATTTCTGCCCTGAATTCCTGTGTTGGCTTCCCTCAGTAACAGACCATGATTAGGTCATGTAAGCCAAATAAATCCTTTCCTCCCCAAGTTGCTTTTGGGAAGTGTTTTATCACAGCAACATAAAGCAAACTAAGACAGCTATCTAACAGGGTCCCAACATAGCTTGGTGTGGTCAGAAAAGCCATCCCTGAAGAACTAACATTTAGGAAGAATCGTAATGTAATAAGCCCTTGCCATGAGTTGGGGATACTATATCAGAATAGGAGAGTGGTGGATGCAAACTCCATGAAATGAAGTGCTCAGAACAGAAGCCAGAGTAAAGGAAGCTTAGCATGAAATGAAATTGGTGAATTCAGGAGAAGCCAGGGCACAGAGCCCTACAGATTTGCTTAGGGACTTGTGGACTTTATTCTAAGAGCAGGACAGGAAATGTTTAGCTCTGTATTTTAAAAGACAACTTTGCTTATAGTGGGTTAGGTTGGAAAGGAGACAGATAGTGATGGAGATGGAAGAGCAGACTCAGTTGTCTAAAAAGCAAGTTGGTGTTTTCCAGTGCATGATGTTTGACTCTGTGCAGTACTGTATACTCCTTCTAAAATTATCTTAGTCGAGAGAAAGCTAGGAGGCGAGGTACTATGATGAGGGTTTAGGACTAGTTCTTAGAAAAGTGGTGAAACTGAGGAAATAGGATTGGGTGGTATCTCCCTTTTCATCGGCACACATTTCCTTCCATAATGTGTAACCCTGCTCAGGTATACAAAGTCTATACACGTTATCCCTTCATAATCCTTTAATAATTTCCTGGCCCAGGCTGTGTTAGTGAGCCTAAGGAAACATTCCTTGCAGGAAAACATTTAAATAAAAAACAAAGAAGTGTGCAAACTATTATACAAGGGTTTTCTGTCTTTGTGGTGGTGGGAATTACTTCATTCTCCTCCCAATTTCTACTTTGCGGATGTCAGCCAACTCTGCTTATAAATGAATAACCTTGTATGAAAATGTCATGGTGAAATCATTATTTTGTACAACTAATATATGATTATTAAAATGTCTAAAACAGACAAATATAAATGAACGATTTTGTGTATGCAGAGTATTAAATACATGAATAATTGCTTCTGGAATGCACCAGGCAGAGAAAATAAAATGAAGTTTTAATGATTTTAGAGACTACTTTTTAAGTCATGTAGGAGGCCCTAGAGTTTATTGTTTTGTCAAATACACGTCAATAAATGCATGAAAATAATGACAAATTACCAAGTTCTGTGTAGGCTTTTCTTTTATCTCATTTAAAGCCTTCATTCTCTAAAAAATATTTTATTAATTATTTTTATTTTATGTGTATAAATATATTGCCTGCATGTATGTAAGAGTACCCATGTCATGCAACACCTATGGAGGCCAGAAAAGGGCATCAGATCCCCTGGAACATGAGTTACAGAGAGTTGTTAGCCACCATGTGGGTGCTGGGAACCAAACCCCGGTCCTCTGCAAGAGCAGCCAGTGCTCTTAAGAGCTGAGTCATCTCTCTAGCCCCCAAAGTCTTCATTCTTAAAAACAAAACAAAACAAAGCAAAAAAAGTGATTTAAAAAGGATTCTACATAAAATATTCTCTTTTATTAGTGTTGTTTAAACTTGTGATCATTCTTCCTCAGTCTCCCCAGTGTTGGGGTTATAGGAATGTGCCACCACACGGGCTTACAAATAATATTAAAGAAGTAGAATCCAGTCAATAGTTTTAAAAGTTTTTTTCCTGCCCTCTCAATTTCTAGTGTATTTACCTTAGAATACTGATTTTGAAATTATAAATTTTTAGCTGTAATACCTCATTCTCAGTCACCCCACACATGATGTTGAAGAAATGGAGAAAGCAGATCCCCAAGTTCTGAACTAGCTCATTTAAACTCACATGTCACAAGGCTACGTTCTTGTCATAACTTACAACAACACTGCTATGAGCAGTTCACAGTGCAGCTGCATGCGCAAACCTGCAGGAGATCAAGCAACTCAAATCTCAGCATGAATGGGGGAGGGGCTCATGAGTTTGCACCCCTATCTAAGGAGCTATTGGCAGCTGATGGCTGCTGGGGGAGGGAAGGTCAGTTTTCTTCTGGGATGTGGGCCTGAGAGGCTGCCTATACTGGTGGATGGTCTACACTCACAGACATTCAGGTAGCACTAAAGGGACTAATGGGTTTTAAAAGAAAAGCACATGAATTTGGGGGAGAAATGTGGTGGGGGACAGGGGAGGATTTGGAGGGGAGAGAATGGAGGAAGATGGGGGAAATGTAAATTTCATGGGGTCTCACTTCTAGATAAGAGCTACAGGCAATCAGTGTATGCTGAGGGAGGGAGGGAGGAAGGATCAGTTTTCTCCAGGGACCAGCTCCCTGATAAATTATCTAATCCCAAGTGGGCAGTCCTAAACACAGGTACACATGAACACCACTAAATGGACTCAGTGCATTATATATGCATATTTAAAAAATGTATGTGTGTGTGTAACAATAATAAATAAAGAAGAGGGCAATAAATTGAGAGGGACTTGGGAGGGACAAGAGAGGATTTGGAGGGGGCTGAGGGGGGTGGAAATGATGAAATACAATATTCATGTATGAAATACCCCCCAAATTATATATGAAAACACATTATGTACATGCATGAAATTCTCAAGCAATAAAAACATTTAAGCAATGAAAAGAAGCCAGAAATAATACATCACTTGTGAACATCTATTCTTCATGTGGATTAATTTGAATGAATGAGTATAGGTATGAAGCCAAATTAACTGAATCATCAGAACAAGGGTAGGAGCTGGAGAGAAATGGAGACTCGTAACTTATACAACACATCATCCTGAGCCTCTGGAAGAAGTGTGCATTGACATGTCCTCTTTTGTGTGTGGTGGGTCAGGGGATGAATGTGGTCTGGGGATCAATACTATAGATAAGAGCAAAAGGATCTCAGTTTCTTTTTTGCTGTGGGATCAGTGCAGTACAGATAGAAATACTTCTCTGATTTTTTTTTTTTTTTTTGGTCTCCTTTGCTCAAATCTTATTTGTCCAACCTCCA